CCTATAAATCATAAATAAAATAAAATAAAATAAAATCTGAAAGTAAATTTCCCCTCACATTTATCAAAAACCTAAGAAGAGTCTCTTCTGAGACATTTGCCACACCCACATTGCTTCTTGGGACTAGGTTGCCTCTTATCTGACTAGTGCCTAACCTGCAGCTCCTCTTCCTCCCCCTCGTCTCCAAAAGCATTTTCACAAGTCTCACGTTTGATCCCATATAGAATCAGCTGCAAAATAACCCAATTTAAGAAATTCCTTTCTGGATTTTACCCCATTCTGGTCTGACCAGGATGATGATTTGGTGTTCTATCTGACCCGTCCTTACTGTGACCTGATTGGTGCTTCCCTTGCTTCTTTTATCTTTTACCAGCAATTGCTTTTCTTTGCATGGGCAGTTTCCCACTGATAGATCCTTTCTATGAGTTCCATTCCATTATGTCCTGGTCATATCTAACACCTTCTTGTCGGACATATCCAATGGTGGACAAACAACAAAGAAGGAAAGAAAACACCATGGTTTTACCATTCTTCCCTAACTTGGGTTAGAAAGTGTAATTGGCAGAACCTCTGACAAAAAAAGGGAGGAAGGGAAGGTCCAATGTTTCGCAACTCAGAACTTTTAAAGAAGATTCAGGCATTTGCCAAGGAACTTGTATTAAAATAATTCCCAGTCTTTCATGTTCCACCATTAAAAAAAATGTTTAGCATTTCATCGGTTTAGCATCTGAAGAACAAATATAGGTTTGAGGTCAGCCTTCCCAAGTGAGTCAGATGGGAAACACAACCAGATACTCCAATTCTTGCCATGATATCTTCTTAAGAGTTACTTGGACATACAGTACATCTAATTTGTTTTATCCAAAAGCTATTCAGAAATCTTTGCTGAGCGATTATAAAGCAATTCTCCAAATTTGCATAAATAAAAGGTGGCAATGGCAATATCAATATACAGAACATGATTAGGATTCTTCCTTTAGTTTGACTTATACACTATTCATCAATTCTTGTGCTGCTCCCTATCCTGCCAAGAGACAAAGCTAGCAAACGTGTTGTCCTTATTTATGGTGCACTGGACATGTTCAAAACAAAGTTTGGAGGATTCCTTTTGTTTCCTGCCCCTCCCATTGACCTACTTGCTGTTGGGGAAATTCTCACCCTCTTTTCTTACTGTAGATGAGGTGAAGACAGGGCCGGATTTTCCTATAGGCTAACTAGGCTTCAACCTAGGGCCTCAAGATCAAGAGGGGCCTAC